AAAAATTCCAAGAGCATCGGGGAATATATTAATAACCATTTTTAGCAATCGCTAGATTTATTTTATCCGAATACATGAAATGCACAAGATTTTTGACATTTATTGACAACTTCCGCGCTAAAATGGTTGAAAATGTGGGTGAGGTTCTCTCGCAAAATCCTGTTGATAATACGGACAAATATGGTTCTGTGACCCAGGTCGTGCTCCGATCAGGTGACTTTCAGCAAATCAATGATGTTGTAACAAAGCATATTTGACGCTAATTAAAGGGTCATCGTAACGTCCAATCTCCGGCTTCGATTCACCTAGTTTTTTTGTTCTGTGACAGGCTTCAAAATTATTCACTGAAAAACATCGGTATATTTTGAGTAACGAAGGCAATTTGACCTCAGTTCAGAAAGAAGAAAAACTAAGCATCAGTTTTCTTTGTTAGTCGTGAAATAAGGTAACCCAGAGTAGGGATTTTCCGCCCTGAAGGACTTCCTCGTGAATCCTTATTTTCGAATTGTTCATCGTCTGGCCACCACAAATATTTATGGCTATAACTAAATTTGACACGTTTTTTTTTCTGAATTATTCATTTATGTCAAGCTCTGTTCTATTTTTTCAGAGCATGTGGCCGTTTTAGTCAAAATATTTTTTGTGGGAACACTTTTACGGTACGTATAGATCAAGCTCATTCACTGATCGTGACTTAATTTTGAAAATTTGGTATCGTTATTTTTGGAATTAATCATTAACATTTTCCTCGTGTCTCTGCTCTGTCAAAATAAGTTACGTATGCCCTTTTTACGTAACTGACTCATTAAAATAAAATATTACATTTAGAACAAGCACCGAAAACACGTAACAAGAGATACCAGTTAAGTTGCTTTGACGATTGAGTGTCATGCAACTATTAGATTTGAAAAGCCACCATTTCGACTACTCAGTGATCAGTGTTTTGGCGAGCAGTCAATGTTTTCAATGAGCGAGCGAAAAAAAGAGCAATTAAAATGCTGTCGGTTTCCGGTCGGACAAGACCGCACGGTCGGAAATCAAGCAATAAGCTGTGGGTGTAAAAGCGGAAGGTTGGGCGAAATGAGTACCGTAATTACATAAACTTTGTAGTATTGATATGCAAATCGGATCTTTCATCAAGTGTCAATTAGGATTACTTTCATGCGAGTGTTGTGCTTGTGTTGGTGGTGTTTATAAACAATAACACGTGGCAATGTTTTGAAATAAAAAAAAACGTCGAAATATGCCTTATAAAATGTAGTTTTTGTTTAGAATAAAAGCACAGTCATAGATACTGTCATAACCAGCAATAATTTAAAATAAAAAAAAATATCGAAAAAAAAACACATTAAACGTATGCTAACGCCCCTTAAGGATGTAGTAGAGGTTTTTTTCCACATTCTCTTATAAGAATATATAAAGCATGCATTCAACTAGAAAAAACAATTGTAGCAATGGTTTAAGAGGGTAATACATTCTAGGTAAATCTGAGATACAGTGTGTTTTTGTGATTTTTCACTCATAAGAAAACATCGGTTTTTTGGGTTAGTCTAGAGTACCGGTAGATCTCGACTCCCAGCTGCTCCACGACAGAAATTTTTGGCATAGGTATTCTCTGATAGCTGCTAATGAAATCTGGCAAAGATAGTTTGTCTACCACTTTGACTTTAGAAAATACAACACAACTCTCCTTTTTGTGAACTCTGAGATGGGGTATCATATTTCACAACAATGTTTTTAAAAAGTGTTATGAGGTCAAAATCTAGGTCAAACAACAGCAGACGAACTGGGAAATTGAATTCAAACCTTCTATAGGATCTCCAAGTACCGCTACATCATTTCTGTGGTCTTATTTCAGTTTCTTCGAAAATAACAGTGATCACGTGGTTACACAGTTCCATTTTTTTGTTTGAATATTTTTGTCATAATATTTGAAAAATAAGCTTTCTAAAAATAAACTTGATTCAAAGAATATGTTACCGATACTTCAGAATTGTACTATGCAATTGCAACAGCAATAACTTCTACTACATCTTTAAACACACAGTGAACAGAAGTTATGTGAGGGAGAATAAAATAAAACAGATATAACAAGTCTCCAGCAAGAGAACTGATTTTTGAGTAGTAGCTGACTGCTTAGCAATGGTTGTACCGGAAATTTGGCCAACATACCACTTACTGGGCTATTGTCAACAAACCTTGAGAAATCCTGTTCTTCTGTCTAAATTAATATGTACATTTTTAATTTCTCCATGATCTCCAAAAAGATCAACAATATCTTCTTCTGTGGCCTCCTCATGTACTCCTGTGATAAATAAAATCCATCCTTCTACGGCTGTTGGTAAAACAATCAAGATATCACAAGATTATATAAGATTTTATAAGTATAATAAAGCACTTCAAGTTACACATCATAATTCTCAAAAGAATGTTAAATATTTATTATCATTACAATATTAGCATCTTCCAGGTTTCAAATCAATGTTCGTCTTCCTGGGTTTTTTATAATGAGGTGTGTTTATGTTTTCTTTGTGACTCGCTGTGTCGCAAAGACTTTTGATTAATTTTATCTAATTTTGCAATGCATTATTTGGTAAATTTATCAAATAATAACCCAAGTAACCAGGAGTTAAATTGTTGTGCATTGTATGTCAAAAATTTGTTAAATAAATATGGTTTTGTTGAAGTATGGGTAAAACAACAGGTGGCTAACTATGACCTCTTTCTATATGAATTTAAACAGCGAAGTTTTGATATTTCTGTGCAAGAATGGTTTACTGGGGTCGCAGAATATCTCAAAATGCGTACATACTGTAAATTTAAATGTAGTATGACTTGTGGAAAGTATTTAGAATGTATTTCAAATGTTATTTATAGAAGGGCACTGTCTTGTTTTAGAATTTCTACACATGACCTAAATATTGACACTGGGAGAGGGACGGGCATTCCACTGGAACTGAGGTTTTGTCCATTTTGTTGTAATCAAATTAAAAATGAATATCACATGCTTCTAATTTGCCAACAATATGCCAATCTTAGGCTAAAATATATTCCACAGTATTATTTATTCAAATACATTATCGTAAAAATCATATTTGAGGCCGCAGCTTTAATAGAAGCCGCACCCCTAACTTGAGACAATGTTTCATGTTAAAATTGACAAGTTCTGATCCCAGGGAAAAGTCTGCAATATAAGCCGCACCCCAAATTTCACGAACCAAACAGCCATCACATATTCAGAAAAATATATACCATTTAATTTTAAATTAAGGCATAATTTTTCGAAGATTTAAATCTTTCCTGATGCCTAGATTAAACTCTAATTTAGGTTTTCCGTAGTCATCGACGCTCATGCGAGAATAGTTTGTTTATTGTGGGTAGCGTGAATGGGTGAACTGCGTTTTGACAATGAGCTGTTATTATCGTCAAAAGTGTTAAATTCTTCTTCAATGCTCAGCTTATCTTTTGAAAACAACTAATTTCTTGATTTTAAAAAAATCATGCTGTTTTCCCATCAAAATCAAAGCCAAATAATCGCACTACAACAACGGTTAATCTCTTCAGTGTTGCTGAACTACCATTAACATATTTAAATGAGCTATGGTAATTTAAACACATTGGCACCATGCAGCGTTTCGATTGGTTAATTAACGGCTTCAAGTAACTAAAGGTGTTTGAACAAACATGGCAGATATCATATCAAATCGAGCGTTTACATGTGACCAAAATCATTCGCTTGCGGTGAAACTAAGTTGAATTTTCACAACAATTCAACAAATTTATTTTTTGTACGTTATTGTAATCACTACTGAGTAATAATCATCAATTGTAACACTTCGAAAACAAGTAAGTTATTCACTTGTGTGAAACGCAGCATGACCGGCTGGATTGTGATACCGTTACCGTGATCATTTGCTATGAATGCATTTTTGTTTTTACTTCTTTTAGAATATACGTTTCCTTATCAAAAAAAATAAAATAAATACATATCACATTAAATATACTGAGTATTTTTTTGTTATCGTGCGAACATTTTTTGTGATTGACTGTAATTTCCCCTATGTCTAAATTAAACATGGAAGGTGCAGTCACTCTGCTGGAAGTCGACCATGCCAATAGTCGAACGCAATCGACTGTCTCTCAGGTGTGACCTATACCGATGCTAACGAATTAAAGTGAAGTCTATTCAAGAGATTGTAGTATACGATACCTTAACCTGTAAATCTATTTGTAGATATTACTTATTGTGCAGTATGTTATACAGTGTGAAATGATTGGGGGAGGGTTTATTTATTTTAAAGAATATTTAATAATGTACATGTAAGGCCCATGGCATATAGTACTGAATAAAGATTTATATATATATATATATATATAATCCAAATATTGTAATAAAAACACAGCATTATAGTGTAATATTAGTGTTTTTGTGACTTACACCTCTGTGGTCCTTGCTCACTGGTATCAACCTCCATGCCTTCAAACTCATCATTGCTTGTTTTAATACCAGCCTCTGTGAAAATATTGAGATTGCATTATTTCTCACTGCATAAACGACCTTTTGCCGTTCACTGTGTGATCCAGTGTTATGCGTGAAATCGAACATAAAAACAAAACAAAGGTCATAGCATTGTAGTGACAACAAAGCATTGCTTGGGATTTGACAAATGCGAAAGTATTTCAACCCTTAATATTGTGCAATACATATGATGGCCTATTTTGTTAACGTAAGGTCATCTCAATGCAATATCCCCCTCTTCAAAGATCAGCATTTCAACACTGTACTATAATAAAGGAAATTTAACTCCACAATCAAATCATTTTACTGAAAACATTTAGTCTGCAACTTTCATCACAATGAAAATCATATTATTAGGCAATCAAATTCAAATCTAATATTCAGAATCAGGGTTTTTTCTAAAAAAAAACTGCAAGAGGGAGCACTGCAATTCAGTGGCGCCACCAAGTGAGGGAGGTAGGGTTCTCCCTACCAGGATGTGGAGATTTTGATAATTCTAAGTTAAAGTGGAACATTCTATGGCTTCCTTGAGGCCAAAATTACTATCAGACAGGTCACAGTTGAGGACTGTGGCCACATGTGATTTCAGGGTAAGGGGGCACATGGCCATGGCATGAGGGCGCTGCGCCCTGTTCCCTTGTTTAAAAAAATCCCTGAGAATAATGTTTTTTCTTGATGAAAGGCACAAGTCAACTGGTCGAAAACCAATCACATGACTAGAGTTATGATTGATATTTCATCTTAAACTTTATTAGTATTTAACTTTTGGTCTGTGCATGGAGCTTAAAAAACTACATAATCTGTGAGTACTGTCACTTTAATACGGGGAACAATTCTCAGCAGTTCTCATATCTTTGCAAAGATGCGACATAGCAGCTGTTCGAACAATGAAAACACTGAAAAGTGTTTTTGAATAGTAGTACAAAACTACTAATAAAGAGAAAGTTTCAAAAACTCCTGTCAAGAGATTATTAGAATATAGTCAAGCATTGGAGGTAATAAACTCATACCATTTTTGGTAGTGTACTTGCTTATTCACAAAGCTTGTAGTATAAGTGTTTTTAAGTGTGTAATGCATGCGTTGTATGTTTTTAAATGATATGATGAAGTGATATACTTGCTCATATCTGATTACACAATCAAACATTTCCATGTACACACTCACTGCTTATTTGTTAGAAAACTAAGTTTGATTCATGTGCACAAAATGTATGAAGCCGATGAAGAGCAAGTTTATATCACTATCCACTGTTATGAAAGTTCCATTCTCAAAGGCAGACCGGAACAGAAAGTCAGTAGAAGACAAAAGATTTTGTCGTTAGCATGAGGGAAACTTGGTTAACATGGGGAAAACAGAGGTGTTAATCCGAAAATTCATTGTCTATTCCTGTTTGCGATTGATTCTGTGAACCCTGTGAGTGTCTCTCACCAAATTTATAACTAAGGGTTACTTTTTACATGTAGCGTTAATATGTATATTTAAAAGACACCCTGGTTTCGCGTTAACACCACGACGAACAAAATAACCGACAGCGAAACCAAGCGAGCTACAGAACTGCAGCTAAAGACACCCCTGCCACATTACCTCCTCAGAACACCACCAACAAAGCAGTGCAACCCATGTCCGCGTCAAGAACACGGCATTGTACTCACCAGCGCGTTCACCACCAAACCCACGGCCTTTTCTTCTTTTAGCCTTCTCTTTCAGCTTTGCTATACCTTCTACAAAAGTGTACACAAAAAAACGTATTACCGCACAGATACGGTACAAGTAAAGTGGATGAATCAAACGTTATGTCAACGTAATGCACTGTATCACACAAGGAAAACATGTGTAGACAGTTGTTATGAATTGGTACACTCTGATCACTCAAATAATTGAACAAATTGCGCTTACTTCGGCGAGGTATTTGATTGACTGGAGAACTTTGAAAACACGTTTTTAAATTAACGATTCCAGATCAGGTGTAACTTACGGTCAGACTCTTCGTCAACCTGAAACTCTTCGTCAACGTCTCCCCCTTCGTGAAGATCTAAAACGTCCGCCATTTTACTTTTTTTAAACAATTAGTGCTAGAGGGCGCTGCCAAAATACCCGGATGTGGTGGCGCTCTTTCTTGTTGCTTCTTTTGATAACTGATGGGAAATCCCCTGGGAATTTGGGATTGACTCATATTCAAAAATACTTGTACACGTGATTATGAGTAAAAACAAACCTTTATATTAATGCCAATTAAAAATAGTATACTTCACAAAAATCTAATTATAATTTTTTAAACTAAAGAATTAAACGAAATCTATACCTGACTCTTGTCATACTGGATGATACAGAAAGTGTCAACAACTTTAAAACCCTGACCTCGAAGAAGGGAAATTCCCCTAACTGTCAGTTAACATATTCTATAAAATCCTACTTCCTGGTCCAGTGTTACAAAAACAGCCAATAATTCAGTGTTTTCAATATGTTGTATCGTACCGTATCATTCATAATCCTGCTAATGGTAAGTACATGTACCTGGTATGGGTAAGTAGTGAGTTACGTCATTCATGTGACATTATACTGATTGTATACATGTATAAGCATATTGGATTCATTCCAATTTCATGTCGCAATTGTTCAGGCTAGACAGTTTATATTCTTTGAAATCATTCGACATCGACACCATAAACAATAATTTGATAAACTTTAATAAATTCAATAAATTGAAGTATAATTGGAATGTGTGTGGTATTCCATCGGTGGTCGGGGATCATGGTCGCCTTTCAATTGCTCTCTCAGCGTTAGTCAACTAGAAATATGACCCATCAGCGGATTCCTTTGAATTGTTAAATGTTACGACTCACACCATGGATAGACTCACAAAGAAATTAGTTTATACTTAGAAAAATGTGCATCAAGTGTTTAATTAATTATGGAATGGAACAAAGATGTGGGCCGGGCATGCTAAGACTATGGCACGTATCACCACTGAATTATTCAATAATTCTATCTGTTGTAAACTTTCATATATCATAACAACGGTACAGTGTTATATTTATTATAAATATATCACTTCAATTTGTGTAGATGTCCTATCTTTATACACACATTACAGATTTCATATCAAACGCTATTGTTTACCACTTATATGACTTACTGAATCACCCTTGTGTCAAAGTCGAAATCGACATATACAGTCTACCCGAGTGGGTCTCATTGGAATTTTCAATTCAATATCATTTCTAATTATAGGAATTTAAACATTGATATAAAACAGCTTTCACTTCGAGAAAGGAACGCGCCGTGCTATATAGTGCTTAGTTATATCATAAAGTAATGATATGCATTGAAAAACGTTTTGTAATAGCCTGTACACTATACTAAAATGTTTTAGAGGCTAAAAAATCAATGATAAATTGAAACACATTCGACTCTAGATTAAGCTGCACCTGTATGAGAGTGTTTGCAAAGAGCCACTTCTGTTGAAATGTATAATACTATCGAAATATCACACAAAATGTAATGTGAAACAAGGAGTTAGTGTGGTCACGGACCAACACTAATCGAGGAGTTAAGATAACAGGGTAATTGTGACACCCTCAAATATTAAATATACCAATTTGATGTTACAGTAATTTAATCATAAACTTCACGTATATATTTACACATTACAGATGTTGGAATGCGATTCTAAATGTCCCAAGAATTGTCTGCAATGCACAAGGACGAAGCCACGGATGTGTTTACAATGCCCACAGTTCCTGTATCAAAGCGAATGCATAGAAGAATGCCCAGAAGGGACTTGGGCATATAATACGGGTAAACCTGACCGACCAAACAATGTATGCATACAGATGAGGTATGTGCAAGTATTGTTTTTCATTTCTGTGTCATGATTATACATTTATGACTGATCACCGGAAACTATAACAATATATGTTGTTGCATACATTTGTGTTCATCATGTTACACCCTAAAAACGATAATAAACAATTTGCAAATAAAGATGAAAACAACAAATAATACACCTGGCTTATATATGTGTATATAGTTGGGGTATCTAGTTGCAAGTTAAATTCGTAGTAGTTTAATCACGACTGCTGTATGTTTATATTATATAATTACGTATTGGAGATGACAATGATATATAATAACACTATTTCAGCACATCCGTAGCAGACGAAGAAAACATCTCCCCGGCAACGATTGCTCCATCGAACGAAGCTACTGAAAACCTAGACCAAACGACGTTGTTCATTGTTATAATTGTGGTGCTCGTTATAATGTCTCTGATTGTTACCATCGTTTTAGTGTTTAAATCAAAGATGAGTGAGGTAAGGACATTCCTTAATAGTTGTGCATTTTGTAGAGTTCAATCCATACTACATTTACATACAAATTGGTCGGTGTACGGTGAATTTACTTCATTGGTCGTTCTTCGAGTCAAATAGACTAAGACTAGACTAAAAGTACAATATTACAATTTCAGTTTAATTTTAGAAACGAATCAACTTTGTAGTCTATGATCAATATCATTGCAGTAATATCGTTTTCCGATAAGTGTAGATGTTGATGGCAATAATATGTTCAACAATTTAGCACTTTAGTCTATTTTGGCAGTAAATTCCTCCTTCAAATGAAAATAGCTGTATCGTTAATCAAACTTTGCTCTCTCTATGTCAAATTTCTTGTATATAATTTTATAATTATAATAAAGGAGGTTAAGATAATATGCCATAGTTTGTCTATACCGTTTGTGTATCTGTAATCAACGTATACATTTATGTCATTTGAATTTGTTAATATCAGAAAAAGGAAAATAACAATGGTATTGCAAGCGGGCACCAAGATCAGAATGACGAAAATGAATGTCTGGTATCAGAGGAAGATAGGTGTAGCCCGAGACAGTCAGGTGTTCAATCAGAAATACTGTGCTCTGTTGATGAACAAAGTAAGATGGAAGACACGGAGATTCTTCAATCATTGACGAAACAACACGGAGATGAGGAAAGTGGAGATTTTGTTAGTCAAGCAAATGAAAGTTCAATATTAATACAGAACGAATGTGACAATATCTCTGAAGTAAGTATATACCAACATTAGGAATTTCTTTCGAAATTCAAAATGTTTTCTGAATATTACCGAAATAAGAAACTGTTAAATAATATGCAAACCCATGTATTTTTAAATTGCAGTGGTTCTTATGACAACAATCTTTCTTACCACATATTGTAGAATTATATATATTAATCTACTAACTGTGTTAATAGGAACAGGAAGAGGCCCAGGTTAGATGCCAGGAATCGGTCGAGGAATGCCGCGACAGTACTTCAGGTTATACTTCAAACTCAGACACAGATCCAGGACCATCCGTATCCATGAGAAGTGATAATCCTGCATATAGTCCAAGTGCATGTCAACGGATTAACGTTCTTGATGGCCAACCTCAACCACTAAAGTCTTACATAGATGAAGACCCTCACTGTGCAGAGCCTCTACCGAAGTTGAATATGCAAGATATTGGCGAGCCCTACATGAGAGCATGTCTTCTACAATTTGGTAATACATTACGAGATACGCCAATAGAACGAGTTTTCTCCACTAATTTCACAAATAAAGTATTCGCAGGAGGTCTTTTCAACTTTGAAGGGGGAAACTTGAAAATCGAAGACACTGGAGTAAATTTATTCATTCCACCAGGAGCAATTAGTATGGAAGATGGTACCAAACAGATATACATATACATTAACCTGAGTAGAATAACCAGAGGTGGCTTGTCGGGAAATCAAATCCACGTGACGCCCATAGTGCATTGTGGTCCTCCAGGAACCAAGTTCACACGTCCAGTCATCTTGAGGCTACCCCATTGCATTACAGACATCAACATTTGGAAAGGCTTCTGCGTGGTGTCAAATAGCATGGTCATTGCAGAGCCTCAGCTGTGGGAACCTCTGACGGAGCAAAATAATTCACATTGGTTCAGCTATGAAGATTCGTTCATGGCATTCATATGTGGCTTCAGTGATAAAGCAGTATGTGCATCATCGCTGGCGACAAAGAATGGTGCGACTCAGAAGAATATATCAACCAAATCAATGAGAGTTGGTATGTACTGTTCACTGCGGGAGTACAACCAACATTATTTAATGATACGTCTGTATATCTGGAATGACACTATAGCTGATGAAAGAGTAAGTTTGTCTAAAGTTTTGTGTATGAATATTCTGTTTCACTGAGAATAACGATTGTTGCATTGGTTATTTGTATTTTATTTTCAAATAGCTTATTCGAGTACATTCATTCTCGTATTTCTAACCATGCCTATCATTCAATTCCATATAACACAATGTACCATAATTTATGTTGTAGTTTTTCAATCATGACTTGTCTGTTGTTTTGTGTTCAGATGTAATTAAAGTCCACATTTCATATAATTAATAAATGATCATCCGTTTAACTATACTTCAATTGATTTTTATTGTCCAAATGACTATTTAAGGTCCAATACAAATTGAAAATGCTTTTCTCAATGTGTTTTAGATCAGTGGGTTCCACGTACAGTATTATCTTCTGTTAGGTCTATACTGGTCTGTTGACAAAACATTGTATAATATAACATTCAAACTACCCACCCCAGGAATATAGCAGTAGCAAAGTCCAATACTGTGGTCCAATTATCTGGGTTTAATTCATAAACACTGATTACTTCAGAGTGCTTTTTGCAATGCAATTTTACTTGTACATTTTGAAAACTATTTGAAAACAATGTTCTATATTTCACATAAATGTATATATATGTGTCTGAGAGGGTCACATTAAATAATTGCTGCTCTTCCCATAGGTTGTAGAAGAGACTGAGAGACTTATTGGAGGTCAGCAATGCTGTACAACAAAGCAGATTCAAATTACTTCGGGAGGTGGTGATTTAGTTGCCGAGATTATGTCAGTGGAACCAACAGACTGGGATATACAAATAGGACGATTGGTGAGTAAAACAAATCATTACCATGGCAATAGCAATGGTATAGCAATATTTGAATTTTTCGAAAATTATTGACTTCTTTAAGGAAAATAGGCCCTTGATAAAGTTATTCATTGGGGCAGCACATTTTTCCCCAGGGAAATAATTCCAGATAACGATGCAATATATTATCTATGGGGCCATAGCATGATACATTATATTTAATATATACTGAACGTTCATGTGCCATCAACTTTTGGATACATACAATTATTGCTAAATATGATCTACTAATTTCAGAGAATTGACAACTCGGAAATATGGAAGAATAACAATAACATTGCTCTTGAACATGGGTCGGCATTTTATCTGAAATATAAGAAAACAGGAGAGGAACCAGCAGGTTTCATCACAGCAGATATCGGTATCCATCCAGATTGCTCTCCGGAGACTATGGTGCTTGCAATTGAAGTGGATCTCTCAGACATATTCAGGAAGGTTAGTAAGTCAATAATTACATATGCTAAATGGAGAAAGATTCCTGATATCAATAAGCTTATAGCATGATGTAGATAAGTGTAGTACCAATAGTTCATGTACCAATTGCTTTATCCCACAGTCATTCAACAAATCAGCTATGCAACTGCTGCCGAACTATCGCCAAGGTTACCAGGTGTGCAATGAAACAAGGGACGCCTACCAGCCAGCTGGCCAACAACGAGTGGTAACAGCGGAAATCCTCTATCCCCAGAAACGGGAAGGTATTCCTGTTGGCGCGTATTGGATAGTCTATGATTTGGTTGACAAAGCACAGTCTTGGCGTAATTTGGCGCGCAGTATCGGGCTCACAAATATGCAAAGGGGCAACATCAGTACTATTGTAGATTCAAAAGTACTGGATCTTTTTTTCTTCTTGAGAAGAGAAATCAATACTTTTCAAGTTATTGATGAGTTAAAGAATGCTTTGGCAGAGATTGGAATTAAGGGAAGTGATATTAGATTGATTGATGATAAAAAATGGCAAGATAGTGAGCGTGAACTTGGAAGTGAACGTGATAGAGCACATTATTCATTTGATTTTCATATGCGACCATGTGACATCTTTACCTACCAGTCTCCGTCTCGTGTTGCAAAAAGTGTTCCCGATTTAAGGCACCTAACCGTGACCCAAAATCCCACAATCATCCGTGCCATAGGACGTGATGGATTCTCCCCGTGCAAGACTAAACGCTTTCAGTCTAGTGCAAGCCTCGGCATGTCTTGTGATCGCTCTTCTGCATTTTATGAGAATCATTCATTCTGTTCATTGTTGTTGGAAAAAAGAAAATACGTATCTACTGATAGAGACATCGCTGTTACTGTGGATAACGAGATAGCCACGGTTGATGTAAGTCGGAAAGAAGTAAAGAAGTGTTTACAATATCCAGTACCTGACACAATTCCTGATGAGAACAGAGACACGTCATGGAAGTTTAATGAAGGAAAGTGGTTAAAACGGAGCAAAACCAGACCTTCTTTGAAAAGAAAGATGCATGAAGCAAATGCTACTTTACTCTATCAAATACTGTAACGACACCTGCCTGTGAAATGAAGAGGTTCTCCCTAGCATCTGGGAGCATCCGCCAAATAGGGTTCATTTTTTGAACAGAAGTGTCTGGAATGGGGTCCCTTTTTGGGCAACAAGTATCAGAAAAGCATTCTACAATTTCAGCGTTCATTACTGAATTATTAATATAAATTTTAAAATCGTCAATACTGGCAGAAAACAACGGCTCATTCATAACGCGTGGCAAATTGGAATCATTGTCAAAGAAGAAGTATAATCTTGCTTTAATAATTGTCTAAAATGAAGGTGAATTTGACTGCATTAAATTAAGTAGGAGTATTTGGCGTGTAGGCGACACACCCATATAATTGTTCTAGGGGTGTAACCAATGGCTCCAACGTTCTTACGTGTATTTAACATTTATTTTATATCGTGTACTTTTGATATTTTAAACTCATCCAATGTGTATTCGTGGTATATAGTGTAACAGACATTTGGTTGACTATGTGACTTTAATAGATTGGTGGGAACTCCCGGCATCGGTTTCGTTACAACTACGGCCAATATTATAAAAAAGTACAATAATCATCAAGTATAGATTGTAATTATCAAGTATAGATTGTAATCATCAAGTATAGATTGTAATCATCAAGTATAGATTGTAATTATCGGAATGTTTTTTAATATGTGCGAGAAATCAATTGTTTCTGCTATACCCAGCTAGATATTTTGATTGAACTAATAGTGCAGATAGTTGTTTTATACTAGTAGTAATTTTGAGTTATAATTATTTAATCACTTTTACGTTTGTTTTCAGTAGACTAAGTTTCAAATTGCATATTATCAACAAAAGATATGTTTAAGCATATACAGCAAGTCTCAGAAGTATTGGGGCAGCCAATTTGCAAACTCGCTAGCCAATTGGATAACTGCTTTGGTTTTGACTGAACGGTTGGTTTTCGAATCTCGCTGGCGCCGTCTTGTAGTCACGCCCCAATACTTCTGAGACTTGCTGTAAAACTATTTGATAGTACACTCATTTGCGGTAAAACCTCTAAAATCCTATAAAGTGATTGAACTGTGACGACCTTTAAAATAACTGTAATTCCCAATCCATTTATAGCAGTATGTCACAGGACAAGTTACTGTAACAGCTGTAATAACACCAGGCACGTTGATTTCACAAGTCTCTAACAACTTGTTACATGTGTAACTTACTTTGTAAACAACTAATGATATTGACATCACGTATTAATGTTTTTTTCATCCGAATTAATGCTTGTGTAATCTAAACAAAAATTATCTTAGTATTATATAAAATGCATCCCTTTAGATTTACTGGTTCAAGTGATATGTTAATGTTTATACTTTTGTAACTAATTGTTGTTAAGATAGAAATAAAGTTGTATAAATTATAGCGTGTCGGGTGTCTTTTTTGTACGATGTGTGTATCATTCGATTCTAATGCCCGGATTTGTTGCATCCTAATTCAACATTTCAGAAAATTATCAACACATATTCTTCCGCCTGAACTCGAATGTATGTTGATGGGCAGTACGATTAAAAACCAATGCATGTATTTTGTTTAGTTTTTTGTTTAAATATGTTAATTTTTTGGTTTCAGTTTTTCGGATACGAAATAATGAAAAACGTGAAGTAAAACCAAAAATTAGACATGAATAAACAAAATAATAAATAAAATATGGAAATAATCACGAATAATTCGTCATGTGAGGAAAAGAATTAAGACTCACGGATCATTTGAACACATCCCCGAAATAAAAACACGAGCGGTGTCAGTGTTGTTATGATGAACTAAGGCATGGATCTTATATGGTGTATGTACAGGGTTACATGTTTACTTATGAATATCATGTGTGACGTAGAAGTTTCTATTTACATCAAACATCATAATATACACTATAACAATCATGTTAATTTGATTTAATTTATATTTAAACTCGTTAACTTCATAGGTAAAACTTAAGAAAAGTATTAAGAAATGTAAGACAAGTATTATATTACAAGACACTAAAAGCACAAAACAGATACACGGCTATACACTAACAGATTTGTTTGATTGTAATAATATTTTTTAAATTACATTTTCTGACAGAATTGTAAAAACAAAAACATGTATAAAACGCAATCAGGGAAAAAGAGAAGAAATCACAGTAACAAAACAGTAATAACAAGTAGTTAGATCAACGAACGTCGTTGATATTTAGGAAATGATGCCAGTATGGCCAATGATCCCACTCCGTATACAGTTAATTTGACTTATGATTGTGAATATTTCTCTTGCTTCAATAAATAAAATTGTTCATAGTTGGGTATGGACAAGGTAAGAAATGTCGTCTTCTATCTGATTTGTGTTACGGGAAAGACATACCTTTTCACTAACGGCTATACATATATTTTAAAGAGTCCATTAGCTTTTTTCTATTGGCTTTTCCCCTTCTGTTATGGTGTATATAATTTTTCAGATGTATTGACTTTTTTGTGCTGATCGTATTGGTCCATATACGTAATTATTCAGAGTGATTTGCCACAATGTGTGAACGAAAAAAAATGAGCTATGTAGACAATAGATGCCCTGTGCTAGATGCTGAGGGATACCAGATTCCAAGACGAGTAACAGTTATGTCGCAGCAAAACCAACTTGCCCGATATATAACGCCCCATATCTATATCTTCGAAACATTTGAGCGAGAAGAAAAAACGAATGGAGAAATGGAAAATCTGCAGGAGGGCGCAATAGAAAGTTAAATAAACCGCTCATTGATTGGATACCATGTTTAGTGTGAACCAATCAAAAGGTATGTAGCAAATATAGTTTAGCAGGTGAGGTCAAGCAAGATGGCTGCCAAGTTGGTTAATTTCGGTTCTTGATTCTACGACAGGAGAAACAGATTTAAAGATTTCGCCGAATATCTTGATCCAAAATGTGAAGGTAGTGAGATTAAGAATACAAAGAATGAACACAAGTGAGGCGAAGCTACCTGTCAAAGCAGATGTCGAGAAACTGCAACAAACTAAACGAACTTATCGGTATGTTTATGTTTTGTTACTTTTTGTTTATAAGTGTATATGTGTGTGTATGCATGAAGCACAGTCCCTCTATCGTGGAGGTATGGTGGGTATGTTGTTTTTTTCTCATTATAATAATTAATATCTTCGGGTTTAATACGATAACCAGTCCGTATCTTCATGTCTGAAGGTACAGAAAGAATTCCTTTTGCACACCCACCCCTAACCATAACTAACCATGAACCCTCGCCACTATCCCCCAATTCAATTGTAATTATTACAGTCAAACCTGGATTATCCGAACAAAGTGGACTGTGACGTATTTGTTCGGTTAATTGATCGTTCGGATACGAGTAAACAAAATTAACATAAAATAAAGAACAATGAATGTTACATTGCATTTAAATAATGCAGGTGTAAATTTCTACATGGTAATTGTTAATAAAAAATCATTGTTATAAAAAAATCATACACAGCTGTCTGTTATTAATTATTAAGGCAGAGCTCCAGAAGGAGTACCTACACTTTATGCACATTTTTTTAAAATTATGCTAATTTATTCATGACGTAGCAGTTTCTGTGGTCATGAATATTCATTAATTTGTGGGTCAATACATTTTTAAAGGGGCGATATATTATTTTGGGGGAAGAGTTAGAAAGGGGGATTAGCAATCCTTAGGGGGTCAATACAAAAGAAGGGACCCATTTGGAGAGCAGCCATGCTCCTCGTGTCTGTTGTTGCACGTGACCTACATCTGTCAACTGTGTTCGTTCTTCGACTGTGTTCGTTCTTCGACGACTTCCATGTGGGGTAGTATTCTTGTGTTCTGTTTTCCTGACTTGAATTTTTGAATCCGCTGTTTGTGTTTTTAACGTCTTTCATGTCTTTTGTAGGAGTGTCCAATCCGTGATTCGAACTTGCGATCTTTGAGTTCCCAGCGCACTGTCTTGTCCACTGTACCACGAGTGTCTTCACACAGGAATTAGGATTTAAGTCCTATTCATAGGAGCACTGTCTTCACTAGCATTCAAAAATCTAACTAAACATACTGGATTCGAACCAGCGATCGCTCACATTGCTGACATAGTACAAATCAACTGAGCTATGTGGGTAGTCATGCAAATTAAATAATTTGTTGTCATATTTAGCTTTATTGCCAAATGGTGTTTGCGAGAAAAAAGGTGGGCAGGCAAGGGAATGAACCCA